ACATTGAAGTTTCTTTCCTAAAATTAAATAAATAAATAAATAAACTCTTAAATATAACTCTGGGAAATTAATAATAATATAACTAATTTGCTAATAAAGCCCTGGGTCTTATTTGGCTCATCAGAATCACTGATTTCAGATTAAGTTCAATTGCATCTTCATAAATATATGTTTTGTCTCCTCTTGTCTTTTCAATTTTAAGCTATCCTTAACGGAGATGTTAGCCTACACACCTGAATATAGATGAAAAGTCTGCATAAACTGGAATGACTTTCAAAACTTTAATAAATGTGAACATAACCTAATTACCCTTCTCTAAACTGTGAAAGTTCCAAGTTAAGTGTTTTTGCAGTAATAAGAAATTAATATTTATTAAACATTTCAAAGACACACACTTACATACATATTATTCATGATTTCTTAAAAATAGACATTATCAAAATGATAAAATTGAATGATTATAATGTAATATAAAATAATTATATGCTTGTGATCTCTGCAAGAAAAATAATTTTGTCAAAACAAATGGTAGAAAAACATGTTTTAATAAAAATGCGAATAACGGATACTTACTTTGAAATGGCTACACTGCCTAAGGAAAAACGATAAAGGTGCTCCAAAATATAGCATAATATAAAATGAGATGATTTTATTGAATAAATGCTTACATTATACCAGCCATGAAACTAGACAAATTACATAGGCAATTACCTCTTTTTATTCATAAGAACCCAAGAACCTAAGGAACAGGTGCTGATCTATTTGCTTTAGAGATGAGGAAACTGAGTCTCAGAGTTGTGCAGCACGTAGTTAGGAAGAAGGGAGTCTGAGACAAGTATCTAGTCCACTAGAACATGACACTTGTGCTTCCACATTTGGCCCTGGGTACATTTATGTGCTTCTATTTAAATAAGAATACAACTGCAATTCTTAGGAATTCACAAAATTTACCCTGAAAAATGGAACCCCATTGTCAGAGACAGACCTGAAAGTGCCCTAACATTCACTTCATCTCCTGTGCTGCCCAGTGGGTGGCCATTAGCCATGACTGGCTACTGAACAATTGAAATATGGCTAATCCAATCTGAATGTGCTGGCAGGTAAAATACCGTATTTTTCTGTGTATAATATGCTATTTTTTTTCTAAAATTGTTAGACTAAAAATCAAGAGGCATCTGATACAGGGAAGTCAGCCGAGGAGTGAGCCGCATGGGTGCATAGCTGCCCATACCTTGTCAAACAGGCTCCCTCCAATCATGAGCCTCATTGTTACTGACATCAGTTGATGCTGTAATTAGAGGTGGAGGTGGAAAGTACGTAGATGCAACAGGGACTGGAGCATTCTGAGCCCATAAAGATGTCAAAAAATAAAAAGATAAATACGGGTAAGCGATTGTCTTACTCTGCAAAATTCAAACTGAATGCAATCAGCTATGCAAAAGAGCATGGAAATAGAGCTGCAGAGAGACAATTTGGACCTCCTCCCACTGAGTGTATGATCAGACAGTGGAGAAAACAGGAAGAACAACTCCTTGAGAAGCCAAAAAAGAAGGCCTTAAGAGGAAAACCAGCAAAATGTTTAAAATATTGATTTCTTAATTTGGGGTTGGAAAAGTGGGGGGCGTCTCATACACAGAAAAATGTGATATACACTGTACTTAAAGGCTTATGAAAACAGGAATGGAAAATATCTTATTCATATTTTATATTGCTTTTATGTTGAATAATAGTATTAGTGTGTTTAGTTAATAAAATATGTTAAAATTAATTTTACATTTTTAAACATAACAACTAGAAAATATAAAATACATATATGGCTTACATGTGTGACTCTCATTATACTTATGTTAGACCTCCATGATATCAGTGAACTCTGCACCAACTTTCATGAACATCACAGAAAGCAGTTTGGCATTTTATTTGTACTTTTTTTTGATGAAATCATTGTTATTTTGAAATAGTTCACATTTCAAGTCTCAACAAAGTTAAGCTTCTCACTTTTACCAAGAGGAAGGCAAATACTGTTGGTTTCTGGAGGCAACTTAAAGGTATCTCAAATTGTTTATAAGAATGTAAACTCCATACATGTTTATTTTTATTTTTCATTTGCTGCATTTGAATGTAGGCATCACAGCTGAGATCGTTTTGAAAACATTAAATTATTTCACTTCAATTTTCAGAATTTTCCAAATAGCATAAAGACATGTGGTGATTTTTTTGGGGGGGGGGAGGGGGGCAAAGGCCTCTTTCTACTATAGCCATCCTACCAATTACCATAGCTTAAATTAATAAACACTGTATCAGCTCTTTGGGCCTTTATGTTTTTCTTCCTTCTTTTCTTTCCTTTCTTCCTTCCTTCTATTCTCTTGTTCTTCCTCTGTCCCTCCCCCCCTTCCTTTTTTTCCTTCCTTTTTTAAAAAAATATATTTTTCTTGATTTCAGAGTGGAATGGAGAGGGCACGTGCCCTTGACCACAATCGAACCCAGGACCTTTCAGTCCGCCGACCAACGCTCTATCCACTGAGCCAAACCTGCTAGGGCTTCCCTTCCTTTCTTGTTTGTTTTATAAAATGGTTTGTTAAAACAAATATTCACCTTAGCTCTGGGTTTCTTTTGTAATATTTTATCTCAGATACTCAGCGCCATGAAGTACCTGCTTCAGTCAAATCACCCCACATGGTTCACCTCCATGGTCTGCATTAAACCATCTCCGCTCTGTCTCACACCTTGTACTTGCCCACAGTGCTCTCCCTTCCACATTTATTATCTGGTCCACAGTGCTCACAGTTGGCCTCTCTGCCCTTGGAAAATGAAGGAGCTCTAAGTGTGGTTAGTTCCAAATTTCTAGGCATCCTGTAAAGAAGTCTCAGATTAGATGTCCTCAACTAGAGGCTTTCTTCATCTTCTCTACATCCTTGTAATGGTTTGTATACTTCTCTTGGCACTTAATTATTCTATCTTATATTAGAGTTATCTAAGGTATTTTCTTAATCCCCCTTACCATTGAGTTATTATATATATATATATATACACACACACACACACACACATACATACATACATACATATATAAATTATTTATTGTTGAAAGTATTATATATATCTTCTTTTCCCCCCATTGACCTCTCTCCACCCGCTCCTGCTCCCCAGCACATTCCCTCACCCCTCCTACTGTCTGTGTCCACTGGTTATGCTTATATGCATGAATACAAGTCCTTTGGTTGACCTCTTACCCCCACCCACCTTCCCCTGCCTTCCCTCTAAGGTTTGACAGTATGTTCCATGCTTCTATGTCTCTGAATCCTTTTTTGTTCATTATTTTATTGATTTCAGAGAGGAAGGGAGAGGGAGAGAGACATAGAAACATCAATGATGAGAGAGAATCATTGATAGGCTGCCTTCTGCATGTACCCTAAAGGGGATCAAGCCAGTAACCTAGGCATGTGCCCTGACCGGGAATTGAACTGTGACCTCCTGGTTCATAGATCAACACTCAATCACTGAGCCATGCTGGCCAGGCATTTAGTTATGAACAGAGATGCTTTTATTTCCCATTATTAATATGTGCCCTTAATTTGATAATTAATATATAGTTTGCACCACTTTGTAAATACTTTTTAATTTTCCTTTTGGAAATTTTTAAAAAATAACTTTATTCAAGATTTCACAGATTTAAGAATTTAATGTTTCCAACAAGATTGATTTATTCCTCTTGCACCCCACTTAGTAGTTGCTCATTAAAGTTTTAGGTGATTTAACATAAAACTTGACTTTCTCACTACTTAGATGCTAAGAGAGTATTTTTATTATGTTAAAAATTACTATTAAGAAGGCCAAACCTGTACAAAAGCTAGTATACTACCTATCATCCACACAACCACACAGATTGGAATAAAAAGCAAACTTTCCTCAAGGAAGTAGATTAGTCTGAGGTTTCTGAAATGCTTTCGCATTACATTCTTATACTTAATTTTCAACATAGTCTTGAAATGTTTGTCTGTTCTCCTCTATGTTACTCCATATAGTGCTAAAAACACGGTAGGCAAAGAGCCTGTTGGACTAGTTAGCAACTGCAGAACATTTACCTAGGAACTTTCTCAACCAATTTAAAATACTCCCTTTGAAATGAATGGGTAAGTAAAGGTAGAAATGGCAATATTCCTTATTCCATCCACATCTTAAAAGCAAAAGCAAACACATTTATTCTTTTTAAAGCACTTTTGTTTTCATTAGTTATAAGAGAAATAATTTAGCTACCAAAGAAACAGCACTTTTGTTTTTGATGCTAAACCCATGGTTTAAATATTAATATGTGATATTTATCAACTGACAAACTTTGCTCCTTTGTCATTTTAACAATACTATTGCATTTATTTTCATCTCACACCTCTAGTGTATTATATACATTCTTGCTATTTCCACTTCTTACAACATTGTCACTCTATGTTTTATATTAAATATCTACCAACTCAAAATTTTAATATAATTCCTTGGACAAATTACCAAAATATATTTTAGGTTAAAAGAATATATGGGCATATTCATTATCTAAACTAGTGAAGTATGTGAACTCAGCCACTCAAATTAGAGTTGTTGGTCTAAAAAGAATAACGTAAACAGCATAACCACAATAATGTCTAACTAAAATTCAATAGCTCTGCCCTCAATGTTCATATATCTTATTGAGTGAACTGATATATTTTAAATCTTAAATTCTTTATCAGACTGCAAGTAGAGGAGTCTTATTTTATTGGTCTAAGAAGATGCTGAGTAAATAGAGAACTCAGGAACTGATAAATACACTGAAGCTTAGAGAAAAATAGGAAGATAATTTTATAAGAAGAGGCTTGAAAGGTACCTGTATTTTTAGAATACAAAGGATTTTTTTCATTATGGAAGCAGTAGATAACTACTTGTGCATGTCATTGCTTTTTATTTCCTTTTTCCCTTCCCAGTTTCTACCCTGTAAAACCACCAAACAAACACAAGTTGAAGTGTACCTGTTGGAAGAGGAACCGCTAGTTGTTCTTTCATGGACTGATGGGAGAGCAGACAACTCTTCGTAAGCACAATGTCATCCAGTGCAATATCACCGCGGTGTCCTTTCCCTACTCTTCCTTCAAATTGGAGTTGGAAGTCCTCCTCGCCAGACAGTATTAGTTCCTTCCGCTGCCAGAAGTTGCCTTGTTCTACAGTGAGATTAACTAGGAGCCTTGTTTTGTTTGAGACTGATACCTGGATCAAGGTAAGTGACCCAATGCCATTTCCATACATGTGATAATGAAAAATTATCTGTAACCAAGAGTAAGAAAGTTATATGTAATTAGTACAATTAATTCCATTTTATTTTCAATGATATTATATTGCCCTCTTTGTCATTAATTCCAGAAAGAATACTAAATCTACATGTCCTGTAGTTCTGTGAATACTCTAACACTGAGTAAAGTGAGGCCAACCTAAAATCATATGTTGCTATATATGGAGGATAGTACAATAAGGATCAAATAGAAATTTAGTTTAAAAAAATGAGCAGAGTTTACTTTCTTTCTGTGATTTCTAAATGCAGGATTCATTGATAAACTCTTAACATCACCATCAAAGGAATAAAATATGATTAAAAGTGATGTGTTACACAAAAGGACTTTTCATGATTAAGAAATAGAAGGGATGAAACACAATCATTTTCAGTCTCATGAAACTTAAATCATTTTCTCCAAAAAGCAGAATCCTCTATTGCTTATTCTACTGCATTCTTGCACTTGAAACACATTTTCAGTTCTACAGGATCCTTGAGGCTCCACTATATATAGCAAAACCACCACGACAGCAATTATCCACATTTTACTCAAAATGCTAGAAACACGCTTTAGAAGAGCAGTTTGGGAGTTTTTCCCTGAGTAAAAATTAATAAACACTACCATTTCAAAGATAAATTTGACTAGCTTTTTAGTGATTGTTAACATAGAAAGGGAGAAACAAAAAAATCTGAGAGAAAGAATAGTACAGGTTAGAAACAATAAGAATTCAGAGGGTTTTTAAGCTTTTTTTCTTGTCATTTGTATGAATGAGGGAAAACTGTAATGGGGCTTATCTTCACACACAAAAAGGCATTATTGAAACAATAGCATACTCTAGAGAGAGAAAAATGGACGTTTTTAAAGGGTAAAGAATGTGATCAGACAATATATGCAATGCATACTTCAAAGAGCATGAAGAATACGTAAGCCACGTAAATGACTCTACTCAAATTGTCCAGCCGATGAAACTTTCAGATATTATGCTCCAATCCAAACACATTTTTTCTCATTGTTAAGCAACTAATGTTGGAAAATGTGAGATCTATGACCCCTGTGCCTTGTCCAGGGAGGACTGGTGAAACCAGGGTGGCATAACCCCTTAGAGTGAGAAATGAAAGGGGCCCGGGCAGACTCTTGGGCAGCACCAACAGGCATCAGAGAAACAATCTGATGGGCACAGCACATGTCTCTCTGGACCCTTTCTAGTCACAGACGCGGCCTGTTTTCTCTTTTGTACAAGAAGCATGAAGTGTATGTGTTACAGCACGTAAATGCTTCTCTATCTTCTTGAGACCATTTTCTGAATGAGGCCAGTAGGTTATCATGCAAAAAAAACATTGAAACACCTCCATTTCTACAGAGAACACCTGATGACAACAGAACCTTATCACGGGGCACCCTGAGTGAATAAACGTCTGCTAAGTACTGAATTCTAAAGAGGCATTTTCACTGAAAGTTGTAGTCACTCAGAGGTTTGATCTCTTTCCTCATCAATCCCCATCACCGCCACCCATTTCTCAAAAGGAAGAAAAACCTCCAATTTGAGTTTGTCTGCTTGAAGGTATTCCACAAGGTCAAGTGATAGACAGGATTTCTGTGAAAATTTGGGAGGTCATTCTGCTTATCTAATACATATATATTTTTTACATGAGAGACCCAATCATTTCCAGCTTGACCTTTCCTTACTTCTTTGTATTCAATCTATATTATAAATATTCATAAAGTAAGCCATTCATCATTAATTTTTGACATTTCTTCTAGGCATACTTCATTATTCTCACACAGATGTTTAAAACAGTAGGGACTACAGTTCTGGGACCAGGGAAAACAGAGATGGATGAAATCCTTGGTTACTACAGTGTGAAAAGAAAAAAATCTTTTGAACATTTTTAGAGAAAGTGTCTAAGTAGAAAAGCTTAGAAGTCAACTGGCATTTTATATGTATTTCATGTTTAATTTTTAATTGGCTTTCTAAGACTAGAACTTATTTATAATTTTCATATATAGATACACACACAGATTTAGAGATACTCAAACTATATAAAGTCTGGTGTGTTTGGGCTTTATTTTTGAGAAAGTTTCAAGTAATTTGGAAGATAACAAAAACAAACAAAATAGAATTGATTAAAAGTCAGGTTTCATTGCCAGGCTAATTAAAGTTTAATATAATTCTGAATGATATATTACATTCATTCTGGACATCTGAGTTATTTTTCTAAAACTCTGATCTGAACATTTCACTTTCTTGCAGAAAAATCTCTGAAACCAGAGTGGCACAACTCCTATCCGATGTGCCTGAAGACATAAAAGAGATGAGATCACTCTCTGAGAGTTTACGTATGAATCACCTTAAGCTCAGACAGAAACTCTCCTAAGACAAACTAAAGGTTTAACATGCTTTAAGACAGTGACAGTGGTGGGATGTGAAGGTTAGTCAGTATGAAACAGAAGAACACGCATCTGTAACAGGAGCAGGTACAATTGGGAGCCTGTCAGCAATGATTTAATATGTCTCTTTCCCAGGGTTAGGGCTCTCACTAATGTGGAGAAAGGTACATGAGAATAGTAGAATTTGAAGACAATAAAGAATTGTCTTTCCCAGCCTGATTCTCTGATCAATTAGCGACTTTGTGGATGTAATCGGCTTTTCTTTTAGTGCTCAAACTTTGGGGAAACACCAGTCAGAATCATATGTTCAGATCTTATGAAGACTGAACTTTTCATTGTAAATATAAATAAAGACACAATGATTTATATATCAATCTCTCAAAAGCAAGATTCCTGTGAAGTCATCCCTGAGGGCTTAATTTATATTATATATAAAGACAAGTTCAGTTCCTACTGTAGCTGACTCGACATTTTTGCGGAATAGAAATCATCAAGCAAAAAATAAATAAAGGAAAGTGAAAGATCCTGAAAATACATAGTCATTATATGAGGCTGTTTGGCCCTAAGAGCTACACAACCTTATTTATACTTTTAATACTCTATAAATGTTTTCTTCAAATTTCCACAGGATCATGGCAAAACCATTTTTTTCTTCCTACATATATAAATTATTCTACTTTTCTTTTTTGTTTGGGGGAGTCAAGTTCAGTCTCTTTTTTCATGAAGACATCTTCAAACATTTTATTGTACCTCCAGCTATCTCTAATATTAATCCTTGGAGTGTGAATATATTCATATATATATAGTTTTGTTTAATTTTTTTCTGATGGAGAAATTCTCATAACACCAATATGTACTAAACTTCCTGAGTGAAAACAACTGGCATTTTACTCCTTTTGAATTATCCATAGATAATAATCATGAAATTTCCCAATGGTTTCCAAAATTCCAATATTTATGGATTATACCCACAGAATAAAGTCTTCCTACAGTTCCAAGTATCCTTCCATCTCATCCTTACTTCACCATCTTTCTTCCTCACATATCCAAGTTGAATAAATTGAAGCACATTTTTGGTCTTGTCCTAACCATTTCATTTTCCTTGTTGAATCTATCAGAAGTTGACCATAATATTTCCGTCTTTACCATACCTTGCAGTTTTTGCTTCTTCTACTTATGACAGGGCTTGAAATTCTGGCTGCTCTCATGGGCTGCTGAGGGAACAAGCTCTTTATGAAGATGTAATGACCAGACGAATTTCGCAAGGTGTGGTCCGCAGCTGGCTCTGTGCCTGCAGCAGGGATGCTGCTAGCTTTCAGATTCCAGTCAGAGTCATCATCCTGTTCCTGCTCCCAGGAACAGAGATCAAATTCAAAATCACAGCGCCCACGGGAGGGACCTGGAAAACATTTCCCAAATTATGGTAGAAAGAAATAGGAAATTAGCTGACTTAAAGACATGCAATCCAAAATCACAGTGATCTTGCCATGTCACTGTAATATCCAAAACTTAGCAACATTCAAACAGAATATTTTAGTTTGCTATACACAGCTATTCCTATGGTTTGCATAAGTTTATTTCTCCACAAATCTGGTCCCCAGTCTCAAAATCAATGAGAAAATATTTTAGCATTATACACATTTTCTCCTCCAAGTACCTATTTGGTCAATGTAATTTATTTCCTCTGTCCTTCATCTTTGCTTCTCAGAGCTTGGTAGAGAATTTAGGAAGTTTATTATTCTGCAATACAGTTTGGCTTGGAAAATGCTGCCTAAAGCAAAAGTTATTAATCATTGCAATTAGTTTGTAAATATAGCCTCATTTTAGAGATGAGATTATTATAAAACAGAAAAGTAAGGTAAAAAGTAAAATAATTTGAATTAATCTACACTAATAAAAGAGAAACATGGTAATTGGCATACGACCGCTACCCTTCCCATTGGCTAATCAGCATA